GCCTTCGCCACGGTCTTCGCGGCCATCGCTGCCGTCGGGCCGGGGGCCAGGAGTCGAAGAAGCAACATCGCCATCAATGTAAGCTTTCGGAGGTCCGCGCGGGATCTTCGGGTCGGCGTTGTGCCCCCCCTCCCTGGCGCGCCAGGGGCGGCGCCAGAGGCGCCGCTAGGGGGGTCCCGCGCCGAGCAAGGAATTCTTTGGTCAAGTAGCTTCCGTTCATGGCGTTGGTTTGTTCTTCTGAGGAGAGTTCTGCCCCTGCTGCTGTGCACCATGCTGGCATTTGCCATTCTCGGGGGCGACGTCTTTGGAGGCTGCATCACGAATGACCCAGGCAGCCCTGCGGCAGGACTGCTCAGCGGCACAGATTTCGGCAAGAACGGATACTACCCGCTGAACTTCAACGACGTCCCTGGTGGCATGGTCACACTGTTCGTGTGCCTCGTCATGAACAACTGGAACCTGTACGTCGAAGGCTTCGCGGCGGCCGCCGGGCCGGGCGCGTACGTCTTCTTCGTGGTGAACTGGGTCGTCGGCGTCCTGCTTGGCCTGAACCTGGTCACGTCTGTCATCCTCGACGCCTTCGTCGACCGATGGGGCGCCATGCACTCCGCGAGGGAGCCGGCGGAGGAGCCCGCCGGCCCGGAGAGGGACCGGAGCCGACGCCGGACGTCGGAGCAGCTGGCCTTCGACGCCAGCGTCGTGACCTCCACGCGGACCTGCCAGAGCGGGCCGTGGGCAGCGCGGGCGGGGCCCGGGCCGGCGCCCCTGCTGGAGCGGGCCGGCACTCAGATGGCCGCGTGATGTATGGTCGAGAGGGTACTGTCAGGAGGGAAAAAAACACAGACACAATTAATCGTCGATCCCCCAGAAAATATGGGAAAATATGGGAAGTGGTGGGGAAGACAAAAACCGAGAAAATATAGGAAAATATGGGGAACCTTTTTATTTGTGTGTATTTGTTTGTGTGTCCCAGGGCCCCTTCATACTGGCACCGCTGCCCTTGCCTCGGTGTCCCACGTTTGTGCCTGCTGGGACGCCCTCGTCGCCACCGCTGGGCTGGAGAGTCGCCTCGGTCCGAGCGCACCCCAGGAGAGGGCCGGAGAGCAACGGTGTATCGGTACCTCTCGGTTTCCCCATTTGTGGGGGCCCGGTGTCCGCGACCGGGCGCCCCAGCTGCCCAGACGGGGTGTATACACCTTATGCGATGCTTAAGAAAATTTATTTTTTCGGCCAGAGTCTCGATTATTCTTCATATTTCAATGTAAATCTTAAGATTATAATAGAAATGCTGGGTTTTTATTCAAGTTCTGAGACTATGAATTTCTTAACCCATGATTTCTTAAGCCTTAAGCATTTCGCAGGGTGTACATCGAGCCCCTCCGAGCGCACCCGCACGCTTCTCCTCGGCCCAGCGCGCGCCAGCGTGCGCGTGCCGTGCCCTGCCCGTCCGCGAGGTCGCGGCGTCGGATCTCAGGGGCGCGGCGACGCGGCCAACGGGGGGGCAGGGAGAGGGCGGGCGGCCGTCTGAGCGGGCATGCGTGGAGCTTCTCGGGAGCCCGACCTCCCTGGAAGCCTCCGGGCCCGTCGGGAAGGCTCGGAGGTGGATAAACCTCCTGCCCTGACGCGTCGATGAAGGAATTCGCCGCTTTCGGTTCGCGAGAGGGCGTCGCGGCCGTCATTTTTGCGGGTCCAGGTCCGTCGGTTTCGGTCCCAGGCCGTTTTCACGAAGGGGAGGTTTAGGAAAGGGAGGTTTGTCCACCGCCGAGAGGGCAGCAACTGTACTCCGAAGCCGACCCTATCCAGGCCGATCCTGGGCCTCGTATCGGTGTGTGCGCCCTCCTGGCTCAGGCAGGTAGGCACTTGCACCGATCCTGGGCCCAGGACGAGCCTGGCCAGGGTCGGTGTAGGTGCATAGCTGGCGTTTTCCTATCTTAGAGCAGGGCTGAACCTAAACGGTGTTTTTTTCGTTTTCGTTTTGTTGTCGTTTTCCTTCGTTTTGTCTTCAATCCGCCTTTAAACGCAAAACGAAATCGAAACGAAAACGGCCCACGAAATCGCCAAAACACCGTTTAGGTCCACCCCTGTCTTAGAGCTCCCCCCCACCCCCCATCTTTTTTCGTCCAACCCCTCTCTTTGGTGCGCCGCCAGTGCGCGCGCGCCGCGGGGCCTCCGCGTGTACGATAGAACGAGAGGCGCGCCTTCGTCGCCGCGCGTGTCTTGGCATCGCTCGGACGTGTGCATTTCTCCTTCGGCGAGGACCCTCGAGGAGCATCCTTGATCATTTGGCGAAAGAGCTATGCACGAAACCGAATAAAGCACAGGGACACCTGTGGTTCTTTTCGATGCCCGTTCATGGGAGCATTGGGCGGCGACGTGGCAACCAGCTTTTCTTGCAGATGGACCGCATTCGGACCGCCTTCGGCGGTCTAAATCCGGTCCCACATGTGCTCCACATTTGGTGCACATCAGGCCTCAATGGGGCAGCGCCAGGGGTCACGCAGGCATTCACGGAGCGGACACCAAGATACGTTGGGTTCCAGGCCTGCTCGCGGGCATCGTTGTCGTCGTCATCGATATGATTCGATTGCCCGCTCCATGATGTTCTCCAGTGGCATGATTATGTATCATTGTAGATTGCCTTTCGTCATTTCCTCGTTCGGTGTTTTCTAGGGTGCCTGGAGAGTCTCGGCCCAAATTGGGGCGTCGTCCAATAGTTGTGCATTCTTGGCGGCAAGATTTCGATCATAATCCCATGCGCTTTTTGGGGCATATGCCAAACGAGAGCCGTTCGCACTTCTGTTCGGAGGAAGCGGAGGGCGCCCACAGGCTTCGCCGACGTGCCTCTTCCAGCGCTTCCAGCGCCCGCCTTGAACGAGATTGCGGCACTGCGGGGGGAGAGGGGGTGGGCCCTCTTGGAGGCAATTCTTTTCGCTTCGCGTATCCCCACCAGCCCATCTCAAAACAGCAACTCTTGCGAAGCATGCCGACAGTCGTGTTTTTCAGGCGTGTTTCCGCCTGCCCCCGCATATCTCCCCTGTTCCTCCTTCCTCCCGCCTCCTTGTACATCCTCCTTGTGGTGGGAGCGGGAGAAGGACGAGGCGGAGGAGGAGGGAGAGAAAGCGCTCCTCGTGGTTTGAGTCGTTTGGGGTTTCTTGTCCTGGTGTGAGTCGTTCGGGCCCTTCTTCCTGGTGTGAGTCGTTCGGGCTCTTCGTGATGTGAGTCGTTCGGGCTCTTCGTCCTGGTGTGAGTCGTTCGGGCTTCTCGTGGTGTGAGTTGTTCGGGCCCCTCGTCCTGTGTGAGTCGTTCGGGCCCCTCCTCCTGGTGTGACTCGTTCGGGCTCCTCGTGGTGTGAGTCGTTCGGGGCCCTCGTCGTGGTGTGAGTCGTTCGGGCTCCTCGTGGTGTGAGTCGTTCGGGCGCCTCGTCCTGGTGTGAGTCGTTCGGGCCCCTCCTTCTGGTGTGAGTCGTTCGGGCTCTTCGTGGCGTGAGGCGTTCGGGCACCTCGTCCTGGTGCAAGTCGTTCGGGCCCCTCGTAGTAGTAGTAGTAGTAGTAGTAGTAGTAGTAGTAGTAGTAGTAGTAGTAGTAGTAGCAGTAGTAGTAGTAGTAGTAGTAGTAGTAGTAGTAGTAGTAGTAGTAGTAGTAGTAGTAGTAGTAGTAATAGTAGTAGTAGTAATAGTAGTAGTAGTAGTAGTAGTAGTAGTAGTAGTAGTAGCAGTAGTAGTAGTAGTAGTAGTAGTAGTAGTAGTAGAAGTAGTAGTCGTAGTAGTAGTAGTAGTAGTAGTAGTAGTAGTAGTAGTAGTAGTAGTAGTAGTAGTAGTAGTAGTAGTAGTAGTAGTAGTAGTAGTAGTAGTAGTAGTAGTAGTAGTAGTAGTAGTAGTAGTAGTAGTACAAGTAGTCGTATCCAAGGCAGTTTGGAGGCCTCTTGGAGATCGTAGAGGGGCCTCTTGGGCTCTCTTTTGAGCCTCTTGGGAGCGTCCGGGGGCCCTCTTGGGCGCCTCTTGGAGCGTCTTGGGGGCCTGTTGGGGCCATCTTTGGGGCGATCGATCACAGATGGGGCGAGCCTCTTTGTCAGTACCCCCGTCGGGGCCACGATCCTCGTGAGGGGTGTTGAGTTTTAGCCCTCCCAGGGATAGAAAAAGGACCCTCTGACCACCCGCGAAACCCCTTCTCCAGGTCCAGGGGGAGGGGGTAGGGGGAGGGGTAAACCCTTCCCCGAAGGGGAAGAAGGGGGGTTGAGAACAGAGAGAGCTCGCTGAACCACTCACGCCCAAAGGGCTGGTGGGATTTCGGAGACCTTCTGCGGTGGGTTCGAACCGTGTCGACATGGCGGTGACCCTGCCACGGGCGTTCAAGCCCGGAACGATCTGGCGATCGAGACGCCGCCAGTCGTTCCGAGTTGAACGATCCACGCGGTGCCAGTATCCAGTGCTGAAGCCGTCACGACACGAACTCGCCGAATCAGATCTGAGGGAGCCCTGCTGCACCCCGAGTGTCGCTCCGACGCGGCGGACCGTGTCCGCCGCCGCCGCCACAGAACGTCTGGAGAAGCCGGGCTGTCCTCGGCAGGGCGCGCCAGAGGGGCCCAGGGCGAGGGGGGGAATTCGCCTGAGGGGTCCTTTTGGTGCGAGACTTGTGTATGCGTATCCACTGTTGGTGGACATGGACAAGCTGCCCTTCCCGGGGCCCCAATCCACCGCCTCCTGGGGTCCGAGGACATTGGTTCCCCAGGGGCGGCAGCTCTGGATAAATCCCCGCCTCGCATCTGGTGTGCGGCTCTCGCGCTCGGGAAGGGAGCAGACCCAAGCGCCCAGGCCGCCACTGTCGCGTCGCACGCAGCGATCGGCAAGCCACGCGCCGATGGTCACTCCTCCCTCCCGGAGCCCACCCTGGCCCGTTTTCCGAGCCGCGCACAGCCGTGGCGACACGAGTGTACCTCGACGAGGACGGCGTCGAAGACGGCGACGGCAAAGACCCGCGTGACGGATGCGGCTGGCCGTTCAGGTGACGCACGAGAAGGCGCCAGTGCCGCTGGCAGCGGCGGAGCCGCCCGCGAAGCAGGCGAAGGTCCCCGAGCACGAGCAGCTGGATGGCTGGCAGGTGGCCTCCTCGCTTCTGCTCGCCATCTTGCCCCTCGAGGTGTTCAACGATCGAGGTTCAGAGAATCCAGACTTCTTTGATCGCCTTTTTGGGTCCCCTCTGGCGCCCCCGTGGCCACGATTGAATGTCCCAGGACCGCAACTCCAGCTGCACGATGTCGAGACACAGAGTTGTTGTGTGCAGTTTTCGGAGTCTGGGAGCCGCTTCTGGGCCCCAGGAGGGCAGCAAAAACTTGTTGGTGATGAAACGCCAGCCCTGGCGACTGGGTCGAGACCTCCAGCGCCTGCATATTCAAACACCTCCTCCTCGTCTGCAGACCCCCTCGCCGCCTGGGCCTTTCGCGGTTCAGCCATCTCCATGTTATGTTTGATCGTTCTGAGGGTCCACGCAGGTTGGAGACGCCTTGGTGTGAACCTTGTATTTGGAGTGGCTATAAGTTATGTCAGGGAGCAGTGTCCTATCTGGGCCAAGTCACATTTCAATTAGCTATGACTGACTTGAACGTTTCCAGAAGTACGTCATATCTACGTGTTTGAATCAGTCCTTCACTTTCATAACTTGGGTCACCTCTCTCGCGAGTGCACGGGGTACCACTATGTGCGTTGTTGGTTTGCCCCATCCGGCCCAGCTTTCTTGCATGTCTTGCTGAGTATTGGCAGTTCCGGCACTGGGGTCTTCAAGGGGAGCTCCCTGTGTGGCCGCAAAGCGTGTGAGTGATGTGCACAAAGCGCATGCGGGCGATGCACATGGGGCCTTCGGGAGAGCTCCAACCATGGAGCCACGAGATGTGTGAGGGGCTGGTGGTGCGACAGAGCGGGGTTATCTACAAGGAGACGGGATGGAGGATGAGGAAGGAGGTATGAGGTGGAGGAGAAGGAGGAGGCAGGAGGAGACGGGAGGAGGCGCAGCTCTCCCAGGTGGTTCTCGGCGAGAGAGCCGCGGCTATCCGCAACCCCATCCGCGAGATCATGGACGGGCGCTTGCCGGCATTGGGGGGGGGGATTGTTGAAGGTGCCCCTGGCCCAAGATGCCCCCAGATTTTTGCTACCTCTTGGAGCCCCCCAGGGCCCCCTGGGCCTCGTGAGGCGTGCCCTGGAGGCCGCGGGGGCCTCCTTGGAAATCCTGGGGCACCTTGTGCCAGGGGCACTTCCAGCAGCACCCGCCAGGGGGGACGGCCACGCGCAGAGAGGGGCAGGGGGGGGGGGGAAGGATTCTTAGAGGCACCCCTGGTCTTTAGAGGGCGCGGGCCCGGTCTGCAGATGCAGGCCCGCCTCCTTCTGAGAAGCCTTCCCCCCTCCCCCTGCCCCCCCCCCCCCTGCGCGCGCCGCCACTCACCGAGCGCGTTCCACGAGTCGCAAAGTGCCTACTCGCAAGCGTCCGAAAGTACACATGCCCGCTCTGATGTCACGTGCCGTGGATATCCTGCGCGGGGGATCCAGGTCATTTGCGAGTAAGTCGCTCTGCGAGCAGTGGGACGCGCCTGGTCAGCCACGGGGGGTCTCGGGCAGGCCTCGGCCACCCGCGGCGAGTGGCCCTCTGCCTCGCGCGGCCCTCGGGAGGGCGCGGCGCGGCGGGGGGGGGGGCGGCGCGAGCACGCGCGCCGCCCCCCTGCCGCAGCGCGGGCCGCGTGCCGGCAGGCCGCGCGCCGCGTGCGAAGATCGGGGCTCGCGCAACGGGCTATGCGTTTCCTCTCTCTCTCTCTCGCTTTTTTTCTCTCTCTCTCTCTCTCTCTTGTTTCTCTCCCTATCTCTCTCTCCCTGTCTCTCCCTCTCTCTCTCTATTTCCATGTATCTCTCTATATATCTAATAATTTTCCTCCTTCGCCTCCTCTTCCTTCGTCTCCTCCTCCTTCCCGCCCCCACTCCTCCGCATCTCCATCAAGAATATGTTTCAACACGTTCGTGTCCTCATCTTCCTTTCCCTTTGTCTCCTCCTCGCCATCCTCTTCCTTCGTCTCTACCCTCACCTCCACCTCGTCCGTCGATTCCTGCTTCTCACCCAGCCTGTGGAAGAGAGGTATTCAGAAGAAAGAGAAGGAGGAGGCGGAGGAGGAGGAGGAGACAGAAAACGAGCAGGGCGCCGACGTCCGACACGTCAAGGTGACGGGAGGCGCGGGTCGTGGGCGGGCGAAGGTGTCACAGATGGGTCGCGCGGGGGAGGGGGCACTACACAGCTGCGATCTCCCAGACGGCAGTGCTGTGAGAGTGAGGGGCCGCACGGTCATTCATTGTCCCTGGATGCATGGCTGAAGTTGGGACCCGTGGTGAGGATTATGCATGTTGCGTTGTGGTTGGTGTTGCTGCTGTTGTTGTTGTTGGTGATGATGATGTTGTTGTCGTTGTTGTTGCTTGCTTGCTTGCTTGCTTGCTTGCTTGCTTGCTTGCTTGCTTGCTTGCTTGCTTGCTTGCTTGTTGTTGTTGTTGTTGTTGTTGTTGTTGGTGTTGTTGTTGTTGTTGTTGTTGTTGTTGTTGTTGGTGTTGTTGTTGTTGTTGTTGTTGTTGTTGAACATTATTAATTCTAAAGAATAATTATTGTTGGGCCCCCTGGTGCACGCCCCCCCCGCCGCGCCTAGGCCGCAGCTACATTTTCATCATTTTCGTGAGGAAGCCTCAGGTAATTCGATGTGATCAAGATCCGGTTGTTTTGTTCCCCCCCGCTTTCCCTTGCAAAAAACACTATAAAATGACATTTCTTGTTCTAATATAATCAAATTTCAAGAATCCCTTGCAAAAAATAAGGTAAAGTGGACATTCGCGCGCGCAAGACGAAATCCTTCCAAAAGCTTAGTGTTCGGAGCGATTTTAACATAAAAACATCAAAAAACCAATGGTTTTTCAACAAAAAATGTCAAAATCTCATCCCGCGCGCTCTTGCGGATTCGTAGGAAACCCAACACTTTTTAAACATTTCTGTCAAACGGGCTTTTGCGAGCAACTTTTTCGAACTTCTGCGACAACGGTTGCGCACCTGCCAGGGCCATCATCCCTGTCAAATAATACCATGCGGGACAGATTCGTTTTTTCTTCGCGCGCGCACGCCGAAATCTCCAAAAACCAGATGTGATCAACTATCTTGTGAGTACGTATCGTGTGTATCATGTGTATCATGTACCATATGCATCATATGCAACAGATGTTCTGTGGAAGGCTTAACAACTTCTGTGGGTTAACAAGGCTTAACAACTTCTGTGGGTGTACGAACGTAGGCTTAACAACTTCTGTGGGTGTGTACTCCACGCCAGTGTAGTAGCCACGGTCGTCCGCAGGCCACGAAGTGAAGTGTCCGAACGTCATAGGGCGGGAAGCTGGGTGTGGGTGGTGGCGAAGAGTCGTTTGGATATTTGGTAGAGCTTGTAATGCCCCCCCACGAAGTGGGGGTATTGGCTGGCGTCGCATGAAAACCCTGGCACTGGTGAGAACACTGAGCGTTCGGGTAAAATGATTGTTGTTGTTGTTGTTGTTGTTGTTGTTGTTGCTGATGCTGCTGCTGCTGCTGCTGCTGCTGCTGTTGTTGTTGTTGTTGTTGTTGTTGTTGTTGTTGTTGTTGTTGTTGTTGTTGTTATTGTCGTTGTCGTTGTTGTTTTGGTTGTTGTTATTGTTGTTGAACTCTCATTGCTGAAGAATAAGTATTGTTGATCCCCCCCGTCCGGTGCACATTGTTTTTTCGATTGAAGTGCCCTTCCCGGGGCTCGCACCCGGTTTTTTATCAGGGAAAGTTTGGAGGGTCAAACTGTGTCGTTGGCCCCCGGTTTGCAACAACAGCGGTTCCCGCCTGAGACTTCCTCACAATTTAGCCAGGACCCCCGCTCCCGCCCAAGACATCCTCGCATTTTATTCAGGAATCGCGCTGTCGCTTGGGCATTACTTTCAATTTTTTCAGGAATCGCTCTCCCGGCGCTCTGGAGTCGCGCTCTCGCTGGAGACTCGCTTGCAATTTACTATAGAATAGCGCCCTTGAGTTGGAGTTTCTCGCAATTTACTCAAGCGCCGCACTCCCGACACCCAGGCACCCAGGAGTCGCGCTCAGGCTTAGGATGCCCTCACAGATTACCTCGGAAACGGGACTTCGCTGCCCTTCGTGGTCCCGTTGCAGCCCTTCGTGGCCCCCTCGCTTTGTTTCGTGGCCCCGTTGCAGCCCTTCGTGGCCCCCTCGCTGCCCGTCTTGGCCCCATAGATGTATGCCCTTCGTGGCCCCCGCTCGTTCGCGCCCGTGGTTGCCCCATATGCATGCCCTTCGTGGCCCCGCTGTCGCCTTTCGTGTCCCCCTCGCTGCCCTTCGTGGCCCCGTTGCTGCCCTCAGTGGCCCCGTTCTTGCCTTGAGGTACGCTGACCGCCCCTTTGCCCGGCCCCATGCCTGCCCCCACCAAGCTCCCTTGGACGGCCCTCGGTCGCCGATCGGGCGGCGTGCAGGGAAGTGTGGTATCCAGACTTTGGAATCGGGGGGCAACAAGCATCGAACCAGGAACAGGCAATCTCATACGGCTGGGAACTTTTTTTGGTGTCGCGCGTCACTCCGCCCGTTCTGGCCACTTCTGGCCCTGAGGAGTCCACGCTCCGAGCGTTCCCGAGCCTGCCGCCCCGCGGAGCGGAGCGGCACCCTATCCGCCATGGCGCAGGGCACCGCGTGCGGCAGGGGCCGCCGCGGCGGCGCGCCGTCCACAAGTTGCCGGCCGTGGCAGCCGAGCAAGCAGCATCGGCCGAGCACGCGAGGAGGGCCGCTCCCGCTGCGGGCGCGCGCCGCGGGGCGAGGGCCCCGCCAGGGACAGGCAGGGAGGGCCGCGCCCCGGGGCGAGCGAGGGGCCCGCTGTGGTGGGGTGGGGGCGGAGCGCGCACGGCGAGGGCGGCGCCTCCTCCTCCTCCTCCTCCTCCTCCTCCTCCTCCTCCTCCTCCCTCCTCTCCTCCTCCTCCTCCTCCTCCTCCTCCTCCTCCTCCTCCTCCCTCCTCCCTCCTCCTCCTCCTCCTCCTCCTCCCTCCTCCTCCTCCTCCTCTCCTCCTCCTCTCTCCTCCTCCTCCTCCTGCTCCTCCTCCTCCCTCCTCCTCCTCCTCCTCCTCCTCCTCCTCCTCCTCCTCCTCCTCCTCCTCCCCCTCATCCGCCTCCTCCTCCTCCTCCTCCTCCTCCTCTAGGGCTCGAAGAGGGGGATGTCAGAGCAACGGGTGTCGAAGGATCACGCCGCATCGTCGATGCGGCCCGATGTTGAGCCCGATGTGCTCCGCGCCATGCGGCGCGATCCTCCGGCCCCCAGCAGATCGAGACTGGTTACCTGCCGAGGATACGGTGGCGGGCCAGGAGAACCCGAGCAAGGCCGTCATCTCCCTGGCGCAGGGCCAGCCCGCCCCGATCCCGGCTTTCGCAGCGCTGATGCCTGCAGCAGAGAGCACCGATCACTGTTGAATGCCTGTCTGTTTCGCGTCAGCACCGCGCCAGCAAGACATCGACAGGGCGAGTCACGCACAAGCATCATGCCATGTGTTTGGCGCGGCAGCGACTGGTGCCTCCCCGGCCCCAGGTGACCCCTCGGCCTACCCGCACCTCCGGCCCAGCAAGCACATGGTGGATGCTGTGGTGGCGGCGGTCACCGGCGGGCAGGAGACGGCACCCGCCTTCCCTCGCCGTGGGGCAGCCAAGTCTCGAGGGAGACGTGCCCCGAAGTTCGCCGCCGTGTTCGGACTCTCGGGGCCCTGCCCTGGTCCCAGGACCCAGAGGAGGAAAAGGTATGCTTTAACGCTACCCGTCCCTCCTTGTTGCCTTCTTGGGCCTCGTGGAGGCCCTCGTCGCCACCGCTGGATTCGCCTCGAGATTCTGGTCGGAACGCACCCTGGGACAGGTCTGGGGATTAGCGGTATCGGTGCCTTTTGGTTTCCCCAAGGACCGTCAGAAAATTGTTCAGGATGAGGAGCGGGTCCCACAGGAAGAAGACCCCAGGGCCCAGGACGCGCTTCCTCTGGGGCCCATCTCCTTCATGCCAATTCCTTGGCGGATCGAGGTTGGAATAGTGTGAATCTGAAGTTTTGGGACCTGTCCCCATGTTTGGGGCTCTTCACCGGCAGTGAATGTTGCGAGTTCATGCGTTTTCCTTGGTGCAGTTCTCGTGCCCATGATATAACGGCCTTTGGCACAGTCCGCCGCCGTGCTTGGATCGAGGACAAGGGGTACGGTACATCGGATGATTGTGGGGGAGTCATTTAGGAGGCCTCTTGGAAGTCTCCTTTGGCGGGCCTCTTAGGGGTTTCCTCTACGTTTCTTCGGGGCGCCAGGGCGCCTATCGGGGGCATGTTGCTTTTACGTGTCTCGGATGCAACCTCGGTTTGGAGGGTTCAGAACAGAACTTCCAATTTCCCTCTCTGGGTCAGTCTACTGGGCCTCTTGGGAGCCTCCTGGGACGCCCTCCGGAGCCTCGAACAACCGTCTCTGGCGAGCCAGTGCCTACCAGAGGCCTCGTTGGCCCTCCGCCGAGCTTCCTGGTTACGGCGAAGGTCGCGACCTCGGAGGTCTGCCGGGGGAGTTGGGGCAGCCCCCCGCGCCGCTCTTCAGCCTCCGCCGCAGCAGGCCCCGCCGCCGCAGCAGGCCCTGCCAGCACGCCCAGCTGCGACGGCGACGGTGGCGGCGGAGACTGTGGCGGCGGCGACAGTCGAGGAAGCAGGAGGATGAGGATGATGCTTTTGGGCTCTGGCCCCTGACTGGTTCAGGGCAGCAGCTCTGGGGGGAAGGCCTCAGGGGGCGGATTCCTGATCCTCTGGAAGTTGCTTCCTGACTCTCTGGGGCTGGATTCCTGGCCCTCTGGTGTTGGATTACTGGCGCCGAAGTGAGCAGGGGGAGCACCCCCCCTCTCAGAGGAATGGATTCCTGGCCCTCTGCAGAGGAGGAGGAGGAGGAGGAGGAGGAGTAGGAGGAGGAGGAGGAGGAGGAGGAGGAGGAGGACGGCGATAGTTCAAGCTGGAACGATCCGCGCGGAGCCAGCAGCCAACGCAAAGGGTCGTCACGACACGAACCCGCCGTGCAGCCCATCGATGTTTGCACCAGCGGGGGTTTGCAGGCGGGGGCTCACTACGCCCGTGCCAAGTCGCAACCTCCGAACCCTCGCTGGCGGACCCCATACTGGCCCAAGTCGATGTACAGCAGGGGCAGAGTTCACATCGGGCTGCCTCGGGACTCCCTCCCCGGCTTGTGTTTGCATGGTCGGAACTCGGCAGGTTCGTCGATTGGCGGCGCGCACTGAAGGGGTGGTTCGAGGAGGTGGCCGGCTGAGAGGGCGGGGGTTTCTTACAAGGCATGAGCCTCCCTAGAGGACCCCAGAAGCGTCCACGAAGGCTGCTTAGACTCAGGAGGGGGAAAAACGCACAGACACAATTCATCGTCGATTCCTCCGAAAATATGGGGAAGACGAAAACCCAGAAAATATGGAAACAGATTGAGAATCCTGTTATTTGTCTCTATTTATTTGTGTGTCCCAGGGCCCATTTCATAGACGCCTTTTTAGAAGGCCGTGCCCCTCTCGCCACCCGCTGGTGCGAGCCACCAGGGTGCGGCGATATGGGGTGGTCAGTTGACGTCGCCCGACGCTGGCGCCTGCATTCAGAGAAAGGGTGACGTGAGACACGGTGGTTGACCTTCGGGGGCCCTCTCGTCGCTGTGGCTGGACGCGGCTCGGACAATTTGTGCTCCTGGACCCCGAAAGTGGTCCGGGGATCGCTTTTCGAGCTATTGGCCCTGCTCTGAGGTTCATCTCGCCCGTGCCCGCCCAGGTACTGGCCCCAATCGTTTGGCAGCCGGGGCAGTCCTCACAAAACGGCCCCCAGGACAACGGGTACCAGCCCAGCCAGGGCAACGCGCGCTGCCGCGCCGCCGTGGCGCAGGTCGCCGCCCCCCCCCCCGCTGCCCTGAGCTTGCCAAAGCGGATGCCAAGAGATTCGATGTCTGGTCATAGGAGCCTTGGGCAGCGACATTGAAACCACCTTCTCTGCACGTGAACCGCATTTGGACCGCCTTTGGCCCTCCCTCCTGATCCTCCTCGCCATTCCTGCTCCTCATCACCTCCTCGTTCTTCTCGTCTTCCTAGCTAGTGATGGGGCGAATCTGGTCCAAATCCGGTCCCACATGTGTTCCAGATCTGGTCCAAATCAGGTCCACACCAGACAGCGACGCAGGCTGCCATGGAACAGTCACCAAACCAAAAGATGGGTCCTCCAGACCTGCGGACCTTTCAGGGCTGCCTAAAACCTCGATCAGGGTGTAGGCTCAAAAGCCATTTGTTTCGGGCCCAGAGCGAGCGACAAGAAATTTGTGCCGGCCGAACGGGCAATATAGGGACAGGGGAGGTTTCGAAATCTGTTGCCTGCAGCTGGTTTTCGCCCCGCCGCCGGGCCAATTCTTCGATGCATGGGAGCCTCCCTGCGCCAGGAGGCCCCTGGAAGACCAGCTACGTGAACTCATGCTCTGCCCTGCCCTTGGTTTTCCTACCTCAAGAAATGGCGAAGCGTCCTGGCGTGCCTGTAGGCCGACCAGACAATGTTCTAAGAACCTGTTATGGTGTCCACGAACTGTTCTCACCACATGTCTGGCAGGGACTGTCTTGTTTTATCACATCGTGCTCATGTTCTAAGAACACTGTTTCTGTTCTTAGAACACGTTTGGGTTCTATGGACATGTCGTGGTAGGCCTATGGGAATGCCAGGACGGTCGGTCCCTTCTCAACTACCCGCCCGCCCTCCCCCGCGAGAATTGGGCTCTGCCCTTGGATATCCTTGCCGTGCCCTCGGATATCCTGCCCTGTGTCCTCCCCGCGTGAACTGATGCTCTGCCCTGCCCCTGCATATCCTGCCCGCCCGTCCTCCCCCGCGGGAGCTGGGCTCTTCGGACCTGCTGGCCGCCGCGAGGCCCTCGGGCTAGATTTCTGTGGCCCGCCTGGCAAGGCCGGGGCCTGCGCGCCAGCCCCGTGGCCGTCCTTGCTCGCAGGGCTGCGCGAGGGCTCGCGCTGCGCGGAGTTGGGTGCCTGCAGACGTCGTCGAGTCGTCGAGGATCGAAGATGGAGAGGTTTTTGGCAGAGGATCGAGAGGGTCGAGTATCGAGATGCTTTTGTCAAAGATCGAAAGGTTTTGGGACCGAGACATCCGACGTCGTCCAAAAGTCGGGGCTGATGTTATTTGTTCCTCTCGGCCGCAGGGGTGCACCGGTTTCGGGCCCTGCGCTACCCTGGAACAACAATGCAATTTTCGCGCGCGGGCCGTCTCCCCGCGTCCCTCAATCAATTCAATGTGCGCGCGGGGCTCCGCTCTGTCGGATCTGTCTGCCGTGTCTGCCAGGGTTTCCGGGTGTGGGGGCGGGGCAGGCTTTGAAATTACACTAGAGAACATTCCCAATCAGTGGATGGTTTTTGCTGAGGAGATCGACCGGGAACCCGGAAGCCCGGGCACCCAGAACCCATGCACCGAAATCGGACCCGGAACCAATAACCGGGAACCCGGGAACCTGGAACCGGGAACCCGGGAACCCAGCCTGCCACCAAAATCGGCGGGAAATTTTCGCCAAATTTTTCAACATCCGCTAGGACCCCTTCAGTGCAAGCGCTGATTGGGGAAAGATGGTTGCTTCTTTGTCCCAGAGTCCCAGGGAGGTGCGGGGACCAGAATCACCGGCCTTGGCCAAGGGGTCTGGGCTTCCGGGGGCGCCGGCTGTCTGGGAGGAGGGCGGGGATCGGGACGGCGGCGGCGAGGGGGCAATACGCACGGGGGGATCGAGGACTGCAGGAGGGCTGCCCTACAGGACTCTGGACGGCTCCTGAACTTTGAAAGTCCAGGGTTCGCTCGGCGTGGGTTACCCCCGAGCCGACCGAAGCCCTCCCGAAACCTTTCCCGAGCCCATCCGAAAAGCCTCCGGGAGGCTCTTCGGAGGGGTTCGGGAGGCTTTCGGCCAGTTTCGAGACAACGCATCCCCTGGCCGATATCTGCCACCGCAGGCCCAAGAGGAGCACGAGACGTGTGTTTGACTTGCGCCCTGCATTTATTCCCCTTTCTTTCACCCACTTTTTTCTCTGCGGCGATTGGCCTCCAAGCCGCGGTCGGGGCAGCGGGGGACGCACCGGTGCCGAATTCGTCAGGAGGGAAAAACACAAATAATCGGCGATTCCACAGAAATTATGCGAAAATATGTGGGGGGGAAGACAGCACCCCAGGAAATATGGGAAAATGTAGGGAATCTGTTCGTTTGCGTCTATTTATTTGTGTTTCCCAGTTCCCCTTCAAAATTGGGCGCGAGAGGAGAAGGGAAGGGCGCGGCGGCTGGGGGGAGGGGACGCCGCGGGCGGCGGGGCGCGGTCCGTGCAGGAAGATCGCGTGCGCGCGTGCCGCAGCATACGCCCCGCTCGCGAGCACCCGCGGCGCGCTAGCGTGGCGCGCAGAGGATCGCGCCTTGCGCGTCGCTCTGGCGCGACTCGGCGAAGATGGGCGCGGCGGCTGGGGGGAGGGGAAGCCGCGGGCGCGCGCGCCGTAGTGCGGGAGATCGCGTGCGCGCGCGCTGTAGTGCGCCCCGTTCGGGAGCACCCAAGGCGCGCTAGGGTGGCGCGCTGCTTCGGGGGGGAAATGAGAGGGGGCGGGCCTTCTCAGAAGGCTCGGAAGTGTCCTCCTCCTCCTTTCTCTCCTCCTCCTCCTCCCCCTCCTCCTCCTCCCTCTCCTCCTCCTCCTCCCCCTCCTCCTCCTCCTCATCCTCCTCCTTTTCCTCCTCCTCCTCCTCCTCCTCCTCTTTTCCTCCTCGTCGCCCTCCTCCTCCTCCTTCTTTTCCTCCTCGTCGCCCCTCCTCCTCCTCCTCCTCCTCCTCCTCCTCCTCCTCCTCCTCCTCCTCCTCCTCCTCCCCCTCCTCCCGTTCGCGCCACGCGCGTCCCGAGCATTTTCTGTTGGTGGAGGGTCAAAGGCGGAATCTGAAATGCCGTTTCAGTTGATGTTCTAGGCCTGGATCTGCAAGTGGTGGATCACAAGGTGGATGGAATTTCGACGTTCAAAGACCCATCCGGATTTCACCCTGAGCCCTCCACCCTGAGGATATGCTCAGGCGTCGCACTGGCGCGACTCAGCGAAGATGGGCGGCCCTGCTGCCAGGCGTCACTGTGCAGGGGCGTCGCGCTGCCGCCGGCAGCGCGGCAGGGTGCCGCAGCAGCCCGGGCCGAGTGTGGCCTGCGTGTTGCCGCTCTGCGGAGGGACGTGGGCGGGTATCCAGGCGAGGCGTCAGTCGGCGGATCTCGTGGGCAACGTCAGGGGGGGATAGGCTTAGGTCGGGCCTGTCCCTCTACAGGAGGAGTACTCAAAAATTCCCCAATCAGCGCTTGCACTGAAGGGGTCCTAGCGGAGGCGGCTGGCGAAACTTTCCCGCCGATTTTGGTGGCAGGTTGGGTTTCTGGGTTCCCGGTTCGGGGTTCCCGGGTTCCCAGGTTCCCGATTATTGGTTCCGGGCCGATTTCGGTGGGTTCTGGGTTCCCGGGCTTCGGGTTCTCGGTCGACCTCCTCAGCGAAAACCATGCGTTGATTGGGTTTTTCTTTGGTGTAATAGTCAAAAATACTTTGGGAACGATTTGATGGTGGTTGTTCTTTTTTACGTTTTAAATCAATATTGGCCAATGTGGAGTTTTTTTTGACTATTCTGTATTTTTCGTCCCAAATCAAGATCCCCCTGTAGGAGGACATGCCCGACCTAAGCTTAGGGGGGGTAGCATCGACCCCGAGTCGCCCAGTCATCGCCGAGCAGGGCCCAATAGCCCGCCCCGCCCAGGAATGTGCAATCGCCGATCTGTTGGCGTATCGCCGCTTCCGATTCGATGGGCCTCCCCCGTCACGCTTCCCCTCAGGATCACTGGCTCTGGGCCGAAGCTGTGGCCTGAAGGTTGCCGCGGTCCGAGTCTACAGCACGCCGGGCGGTCCAGAAAGGGCCTCACTCGCCTTCAGTGTGTCGAGGAGGAGTTGGCATCTCTTCATCGGCGGAGGGCTGGCGGAAGCAGACCAGGGGCAGCTCCGCTGGCGGAAGACTGGCAGAAGGCGGCGGAAGCAAAACGAGGACCCATTTCCGGGCACAGGTGTCTGGAGCGGGCCGCAGAAGGCTGCAGTATTGAATCCTCGCTGCTCTTGCAGTACTCGGTGCTTGTACTTAGTATGTTACGGACGCAGTGACATGGTATAGTAAGGACGCTTTGCTTCGAATCATCCTGGCCTCGTCGGCTTACCCGTAGTCGTCGATCAGCGGTGTCTCCGCTGCCGCTGTTGCCGCGTGGGCGTCCCAGGGGGCCTGCCTCCCCATCTTGCGCCCGCGCCCACTGCGAGGTCGGCCGGGCAATTCTGCAGAGGCTCCCGTGCCGAGGGTGAGGGTTGAGCCGAGCCGAGGAGTATTACCAGCGCCCCCGGCCCTGCTGCGCCTCTGCCCCCCCCTGCTTCTTCCTTCACTTGCCTCTACCGTTCCATCAGCTCTCCACCCCGTCCTCCTCCTCATCGCTGTTTCCATCCACAGGCTAGTCCCCTTCCCCCGCACCATCCCCCGCCCCACGATGCTTCGCGCCAGCCGTTGCCGCACAGCGAGCTGCACACAAGCTGCGACCGCTCTGCCCCGCGATTGCGGTGCACTGTGGAGACCTCGTTCCATTGCCAGCCAGCACCGATTCGTCCAGGAGGAAGGAGGTAGCCCGCATGAGTCTTTGGCCTCTTCTCATCCGCCTCCTTCTCATCCCCCCCTCCTCGTCCCTCGCCTGCTCGTCATCTGCTTGGCCTGGTTCTCCTTCTCTGCATCCTCCTCCCTCCACCTCCTCCTCCGATGTTCATTGTCCTCCTGTGCGCCTCTCGTCCTTTATTTCGGCGAGGCCTTCAGCGCGAAGGGGCGCCAGCCTCTTACCGCTGCAGACGTGTTCATGTCCATGGGGTGCTCCGAGGCCACCGCGTGCTTGGCAGAAGTTGAGAGAGAGAGAGAGAGAGAGAGTCGGGTCGGGCGAAAGGGGGGGATTGGGAAAGGAGGGGTTACGAAATTTGCTGCACGCAGCTGGTTTCGGCCTCACCGAAGGGCCCAGTCCTCGATACATGGGCGCCTCCCGGCGCCGGGAGGCGCCGGGAAAATCAGTTACGTGAGCTGATTCTCACCCCCCCCCTTTGCTATCCCCCCCTTTCGCCCGACCCGAGAGAGAGAGAGAACCGGGCTTGTAGCTGGCCTTCTGGTTATCGCTGGCTTGTCCCGTCCTGGCGCCCTGGACCGCGTGCGGGCCCTCAGCTGCCCCCCCCCGCCACACACACGAACATACAACTCAGGAGGGAAAGAAACACACAGACACAATTAATCGGCGATCCCCAGAAAATATGGGAAAATATGGGAAGTGGGGGGGAAAGACAAAAGCCCAGAAAATATGGGAAAATATGGGGGATACTTTGATTTGTGTGTATTTATTTGTGTGTCCCAGTTCCCCTTCAACAACGTTGAAGATGGACCCTCTCGCCACTCGTTCGAGGTGGTCAAACAACCTCTTCACGCCCTGGGCTCTCCAGATAAAATAAAGGACACACCTGTTCCGCCCCTATGGCTTCTTCGTCAGGGTGGCGGGATACGGTTTGACAGCTCGGTGGGAACCGTGCTCGGGAAGAAGGGGTAAGCCCGTCCCCGAAGGGGAAGAAGGGGGGTGGAAGAGGACACCCCCTAAACCACCTACGCCCAGAGGGCTGGTGGGATGAAAGTGTTTCTCCTAGGGCTCGTACCCTGTTTCCTCCCCCCCCCCCTTCATCACGGACAATCTTGGTCCTCAAAGTGCGATGGCCCCAGGTTTACAGCAGTAGCGTCTCCCGCCTGGTATTTTCCCACAATGTATTCCAATTTCGTGCTCTCGGGCGGGTCTTCCTCAGAGTAGATTCAGTATCGCGCTCTCGCGTGGTACGGCCTCGCAATGTATTGTGGCGCCGTGCCCCCCAGACTCCGGCGTCATGCTCTCACCCTTCGAGTTCCTCACGGTTTATTTGGGAATCGTTTTATCGTTCGGAATTTCTGTGCGATGTTGGATTGACGCTTGATAGACCTTGCCCGCTCGACCCGGCCGTCTGGGCCCGCCCGCCCGACCAGCCCTTTAGGGTCCGCCCGCCCAACCCGCCCGTCTGGCGTTGCCGCTTGTACTCCTGCTTCTGCAAATTCTTTTCTGCCCCTAGGGGCACGTTCATTGATTGGGACATTCAACCGTACGAGCGTTGGCAAGATCTAGGCAAATATCTTCTCGAACTCGTTTTACCTTTTCATGCAGGTGCTATAGGTCGGGTCCACTCGGTTTTCGACTGGTTCTTCGGCCTGCCGCACCTTGTCATGAACTCGTTCATCAAGTTTGTTCCATGGTGCATGGGGTGCCGCGGGCTGCGTGCCCACCTGAATTTCCCTTTTACAATATTTGGGGGTGCCGCGGGCTTCGAGCTCATCTAAACTCCCCATCGCAGCTGTGGAATTTCACAAATTTGGTGATTTTTAATAGTGCTGTGAGGCACTTTTGTGTTTGCAGTGGCGAGGCTGGCTGTGGGGGAGATAATCCTTATTCTTTTGAGATGGGTGGGGTTGCCTGACAAGTCCGTGTGGGTACTCGCGGTGATTATTCTCGCGTATTCTTATTCGGGCGGGCCTTGATTGGATTGAATTCGTACCAGCTTAACCCGTTGCTTTCCGAACGGGCCGTGTTGTTTCCAACCACAGTAACTTCATGTCATTGCAGCCACTCTTTTTCTCGGGGTCCTGCGTGACAGCTCTGGTGATGGGGACATATTTTCCTCCTCTACAACTTCCACCTGTTCTTCGTCCTCTGAGTGGCGACAGTCTCGGTCTCGGATTGTGACATCGTCACGGCGGTCTCTCTCTCTCTCTCTCTCTCTCTCTTTCTCTCCTTCCTCCCTTCTATCCCTTGCTTTAGGGCTTGCGCCAACTACACGCGGCAAATAGGGGAGATATACCCTCAAGCGGGGTACGGTCGAAGACGAAGAGACGAAGAGGGCAGGTATCGAGGTTTTGGGGCACACGTGCTGAATGGCACGCGAGCAGATGAGAGCGGACAGTCGTAAAGATGATTGTTGGTTTGTTTTGTTTGTCACTGTGGGTGGTTCTGGAGGCCTGGGTGTGGCCATCTTTGGTGGGGGGAGTGGAGAGGCCAAGACATTTGGTGGCTCGGGAGCTGGGCACGGCTGTGTTTCAGCATGGTGAGGCTACGGTGGCCTTAATCGGGGCCCCGCGATTGCCGAGGACGCTTCAGGATGAAAGCCAGCCGAGGGAAGGGACAGGGAACTCTGGGGAAACATCCGCAAATCGAGTCATCCAAGATTTCTGATGACAAGTTGTGCTGTGGAGAGGATGTGGAGCAGGAGGAGGGGATGGTGTGATCTCATTCCAGCGGAAGGGGAGTGGAAAGGATGGAGAGGAAGGGGCATTGTTCTTCTGCTTTTTTGTGATTATTCTGCTTCTTCTTTTCGTTCTCTAGACTCTTCTTCCCACGAAGCAGAGGCCCTATCGCACTGCATCGCCGCCCTTGCTGGCGGTCCAGGCGGCAACATGCTGCTGCCGCGTCCTGGTTCCCAGGGCGCTTGGGAGGAATGCAGTGCGGGAAGCCACTTGATTGGATGACCCTACGGGTCCTCTTGCTCAGTAGTTGAGCAAAGTCCCCAAGCGGTCAGTGGGACAGGCGCACGGCAGAAGCGAGACGCAGACTTTCGCCGGCCAGTTACCCCCGTGGTTTCGGCATCATCGTCCTCCCTCCTCTCCCTTCCCCGAGCGCGCGGCTGGGAGGAGGCCGTGGGTTTCTAGCAAGGCAGAGCGCTTCGAGGTGCGCCTGGTAACTCGGAGGGCTATTTCAGTCATCCGTCACATTGTGAGTCCGTTGTGCGGGAAATGTGCATCCATATCCACTGCGTCTTGGAGTTTCGGGCCCCCTGCCCCAGACACCGGTAGCGCAATGGACATGGACACTCCTCTGCGCCCTGGCCTTCTGGTGCCCCCTGCCCAGGGAGCCCAGGACGCAGTGGATCTGGATACGAACCTTGCCTGCACCTAGAGCTCGAGCGGATGGAACACGGGGGCTGGGCAACGGCCGGGGCACGGCGCGGCTGCTGCGTGCAGTTGGGTTGCCGCCCCGCCGCCGGGCACCTCCCTCGGTGCGCGGCCGCCCTGGGTGCTGCGAGCCCCTCGGGAGACCAGTCGCCGTCGCCGTCGTTCTCGCTTTCGTGGTCCTCGCCGTGGTCCTGGTCGTCCTCGCCCTCCTCGTCTCCTCGTCTCCACCAGTTCATGAGCACCATCACCATGCACATCACCATCACCATCACCACCACCATCCTCATCATCACCATCATCAGCTCAACCTCAGTAGCATCATCATCATCATCATCATCATCATCAGCAGCAGCAGCAACATATTCATCTTCATCATCATCATCATCATCATCATCATCATCATCATCATCATCATCATCATCATCATCATCATCATTATTTCCATCATCATTATCATCATAAGCATCATCCGCATCATTAGCATCGTCGTCATCACCATCAGCATCATCGTCGTCAGCCTCATCATAGTCGGCTTCATCACCATCGTCGTCGTCATCCCCAGCATCAACATCATCAGCATGGCAGTCATGTTGATCAACATCATCTCCGTCATCGTCATGGCTATCAGCCAGTTGTAGCGTTCTCATGATCAGGCCTGTTGTTGCTCTCGCGTGTTCTTGCGGTGCGTACTCGAAGGTTGTTCCTCTCGCTTCATAGGGTGTGGTGGTCGGATCGAACCGAGGTATCTGATCAAGATCGGTCCAGGGAGGGCACCCTAATGTTTTTCATGTTTGTTGGATGTGTTTGTGCATCCTGGGGGAGGATACCCTCGAACATTCTTCAGTTAGGCCGGCGGATAATCTCACGTTCTTGAAGAATCGTCTCCTGTGCCAGGTCCAGACGTACCGGCAGAATTGCGCATTCTGGCATGGTCGTCCCCTCCTCTTCGCCCGGTGGTCGCAGTCACGGGTAGTGTTCGCGTGCATCTTGTGGTGCGCGTAGGCGTTCTCTTACCGAGCCTTGACAAGCGGCTAAGGTGCGTGTGAGCGCTGCGGTAGTGCCTCCTCCCCCCATAACGCCCGTCATGACGACGAGTAAGAATATGTGTTAGAGCGATACCCAACGACCATGACGCCGGGGGGGGGGCAAATAATGAGGACACCCCCCAAAACGGAAGGGTGGGTAGGTGCGGGAGGAGGTGCACCCCCCCTGTTTCCCTATCCGTGTCGGGGTCAGACTGCAGGGGGGGGGGAGCAACTTCTGGCAGGGGAGGTGCACTCACCCGCCCCTTCCCCTCTCTTTCGTTTCCCGTGCCGGGTTGAGAATCGAGGGGGGGGTGCACCCCTGGCAGATGGGGGGCGGGCTCCTCCGGCGCGTGAAATAGGAAAATGGAGATTCACGTGTCGGTGGGGGGGGAGGGTCGTGCTTTCCCTTTCCCCGCGTGGCCCGCGTGGAGAGGGAAAAAGGAAAACATCAAAGTCCTGGTGGGGGGGCTCCTCCTCCGGCGGGCAAGAGGCGAAGAGAGAGCTTGGAGTGCCTGGGCGGGGCGGAGGCTCTCCCTCTCCCCGCGCAGGAGGGGAAAAAGAACAGATCCGAGTCCCGAAGGGGGATGCTTCTCCTCAGGCGCGCGAAAACGGAAGCGAGAGACTGGAGTGTCAGGGGGGGGGGTGCTGCTCCTCTCTCCGCGCGGGGGGGGGAGAGAAACATATCCGAATTGTGGAGAGGGGGGAGGACGGCTTCCCTCGGGCGCGCGAGAGGGGAAGAAAGAGACTGGAGTTCAAGGCGGCGGGGGGCTCTTTCTCAGCCGCGCAGGAGGGGAAAGGTGAAACGTCCGAGTCCTTGGAGGGGAGGGCGCTCCTTCTACAGCGCGCGAGAGGGGAAGAGAGAGTCTGGAATGCCGGGGGGGGTCAGAGACTTCTTTCCCCAATTTATTATTATTATTATTATTATTATTATAAAGAGCTGCTAGCGCAAAAAAAGAACATGATGTCCGCCTGGGCCCGTGTCGGACGAGCGGAGATGTGAGCGCAGTGGCGCGCGCGGTCTCGCACGACCCGCCACTTGTAATAACGCGAATGCGTGGGCGTCGCGGCGACGACGACGGCGACGGCGACTGGCGACGACGAACATCGCGGCGACGGCTGCGACGGGGCGCGGGCCCACGGGCGAACTTGCGCCCCGCCCTCGCTCCTGGAGTCCCGGGCCAGATTTTGTGGGAGAACCGAAACTTTTGCGCGCAATTTACCCCAGCCGTTCCTCCGCTTTACTAAAGCTCTCTTTTCGCCTCAGTAAAGCGTCGCTTCTTCTGAATGTATCGAGCGGCGCGCCTTTACCAAAGCCGCTTCTTCGCTTTAGTACAGCCGTTTTTACGCTTTAGTAAAGCCGTTTCCTCGCTTTAGTAGAGCCGCTTCCTCGATTTAGCAAAGTCCGCGGTCTGCCTCAATAAAGTCCTGGGGATGCGGTGGTGATGCGGGGCTAGGGCCCGGTCGGGGGGCGGGGTGGCCCTGTTTTTCTTGCCGTTTCACCCCGCGATGCATTTGCTCGGGTAACATGGGTCGCGTTACATCGGATCGCGGCGACCCTTGGACGTGTTTTCAGCGAGTTGTAGATGCTCCTTGACAGAAGAACCAGGGCGCAAGCGCAGGACGTGGCTCTGCAATTCGGACGCGGCGGCGCAGGGCGCGGCGGCAATTCGGACGCGGCGGCTGTCGCGCAACATGGCAAAAACACTTTACTAAAAGGCTTGTTTCCTTTAGCAAGTAACTCTTCAACGTAGTAGTGCGAATTTACCGTTTCCAAGGGGGTGCTCTCCTAGTTCCCGCGTGGAAAGGTACGAGGACAAAATCCCCAAATCCGAATGCTGGGGGTGAGGTGCTCATCCTCTGGCGCGCGAGAAGGGAAGAGAGAGAGATTCGAGTGCCAGGGAAGGGGGTGGGACTGCTCTCCCTCTCCCCGCGCGGGAAGGGAAAGTAACAACATCCGTGCTCTGGAGGTGGCGTTCTCCTCCAGAGCGCGAGAGGGGAAGAGAGATATTGGAGTGGGGGGGATCTCTCCTTCTCCTTGCGCCGACTGGGATGAAATCGAAATCTGTTTGCCTGGGGGGGGGGGCTCTTCTTCAGCACGCGAGAAGGGAAGAGAGAGACTGGAGCGCCGGGGTGGGTGGGTGCTCTCTTTCTCCCCGCGCGGAAAGGGAAGAGGAAACAATCAAAGTCTTGGGTGGCGGGGGTGCGCTTCCTCCGCCTGCCAGGAGGTCCCCCCCCCCTCTATTCTCACCCCAGCACGGACAAGGGGGGGGGAGCTCCTTCATCCTCCCACCCCGCCTCCCACCTTTCGTGTGCGTGGGGGGGGGGGGGGGTGTTCTTTCTTGTCGGCCGCCCCCCACGCGGGTGGTTGGTCGTTGGGCATCGTTCCCCCGAAGATGTTCCATTTTTTGTGCAGGCGAATGACGATGCAGGCAAATGAAGATGAACGGCAACTTGCTCACAAATCGTTCCCAGGAGCCCTTCGGGGGTCCATCCGGTCTGGCTTTTCACCTTGAACCGATCTCCGACGATCCCGGGGCCACGAGGCGGGTTTCTGTCGGCGGGAAGTGGCGAAAGCCTTATCGCGTCACCCGTTGGGGCGCGCGTCGCGGTATGGGCCATAGCGGTTGCAGTGCTCCAAGGGCGGCGGCGCGAGGACCAAGCGCATCACGCAGCGCGATGCGCGAGGTTGAATGACGTAGGAGCCCCCCCCGACCCCAAACCTCCTCGAGCGTTTCTGCTCCCTCCGGGCTGAGAGCTTTGTCTCGGCGAGGGCTCGGCTCCTCCACGACCTCGGCCTCGTCACGGTTTCGTCGGATCGTAGCCGGCACTGGGGCGTGCACGTTGGGCGCGGGAACGCGTGGGCAAAGGAGCATCTTTCCCATCCTCTTCCTCCTCCTTCTCCTCCTCCCCTTCCTCTTTCACTTTCTCGTTTCCATCCTCCTCCTCAACGTGTTTCTCCTCCCCCTCCCCCTCCCCCTCCCCCTCCCCCTCCTCTGTCTTATGCTCTTCTTCTCTGCAGCTGCTTTCGCAGCGTCGCGACGAAGCCGAGAAAACAGGGTGGCTCGCGCGCGCGCCCAGAGTAGCAAGCAAAACACTGGATCGGGTCTCGATGGGGCATGTCCAAAGAATGTGTTTATTATCCTCCTCGTCCTCCCCTTCCTCCCTCCTCCTCCCTCCTATTCCTTCTCCTCCTCGTCGTCATCCTGCTCTCCCTTTTTCCTCCCCCGCTGAGCAAGGGGGAGAAGGGAGTAGTGGGAGAAGGGGGATGGTGGATGATCTTCCCTCCGGGTTCCTTTGTCATAGGTCACTGCTTGGATGTATGCATATTTCGGGAAGTGGCCCATTCGAAGAGAATCGTCTGATAGACGTCATCGTAACAGTCAAACCATGCCTGGGATTTCAACGACACGGATCAATGTGACAGTCGCGTCTGCGCAATCTTAGGTTATTTCTGAATGCAATTTCACGGACGTCAACACCGCGAATACACTTAATTGTTGAGTCTTGACCATCCCACATCTATAACACTACGCTTGGGGCTTCAACATTGCGAATCCTTCCAGCTGTTGCAGGAGTTTGTGCATAATGTGCACGGCTCTACGGCGAGAGCCACATTCTGTAAAGGACCGCCCTTCATCCTGGAAGTTGTTGCGCCCTGTTTTAGACGGATGTGCGCCGCGCTGAGACAAGGAACACATGTTGAAGACCCTTGGCCCCCATTCTTGAGACTGCTACAAGCCTTTCAACGAATGTGCGTGGAGATAGGGCGAGACAGTCACAGTTTGAAAAGGACCCACCGTCAATGCTTGAAAGTGTGTCAACTTTTTACAACTAGTGTGCTCGGTATTGGGGCGACAGCCTCATTCTGACAACCATCCGATCTCCATCCACGAAGCTGCTGGGGTGTGGTACCCACACTGGCGTATTGTCTCTAGCCTCAGGCGGCTGCCTGGGCGCGATGAAGTAGTGTTATGGCAACCGAGCCATCCAGCAATTGCCAGAGTCGAGCTTGCACGTCCGCTTCGGTGACCATGATCTTATTGGCCTTCACCTCCTTCAGAAGTGCTCGCAGTTTCCGCAGGGTGGGATGGTCCTTATGCTTAGTAGATGGCGACCGTCGTGTAATTGTCTTCCCCGCTGTAGTTGGCTCCTCCACTCCAGTGTTGCCGAGCTTCGGAGTCAGCGCCTGCAACGCAGTTGTGATTTTTGTAACCTGGGCCTGCAATTGCGTCACCTGGCGTCGCCCCTTCGTCGCCTTAGCTGCAGATAGCAGATAGCTCCCCTTTGTGAGTCCAGCCTGGTCGGGGGTTCTCGTTTGCACAGTCGTTGATGTTTGCAGGACGCTCCTTCAAGAGTACGACCTCATCCCAAGCTATCTCAGTGATATGTTCGCTACCACTAGCGTCTGGCAAGGGGCTAGACCCGACGACCCCTAGAGCGTTGGACTCGCTCAGGGGGGTGGTGGCATAGTCGCCCACGTTGATGTCCGAAGGTTTCGCGCCCTGACGTCACACCCTCGCTATGGATTTGACTGCAGGGGGTCCGGGGCTTGGCGAGGGTGTCGAGGAGGCCTGAGGTAGTTTGGGTCAGAGAGGCCCAGGAACGTGATACATTGCCCCACAGCGTTCCCGATCGCCCTGAGAGCGTTCCCCGACACTGGAACGGCCTCGGCGCCCGATACATCCAGAACTGTCAGATCTCAGATATCCCTGATTTATCGTGATCCGTGGTTGTCCCGTTCCTGGCTTGTTTGTTCATTCTTGTTTGCGGCCAGCTTTTTGGCCCACGGCCACTGCGTTGATCATGCAGTGCTGATGGAGGAGGGCGGTGACGAGTTGCGGGGGAATGCCAGCTGCACAGGGCGCGGACAGGGGCAGCTGTTGGTACACGATACGGCGGGGGCATTCGTTGAGGAACATGCGGGGGAAGCTTCAGACCTTGGAGGGTCCTTTACCTGGTGAGGGCGGCGGTGTTATTCACGGCAACGCCTAAGTTGGTTTCCACCGGTTTCCAGACCCTGGATGTTACAGTAAAACGTTCTTTTTCCAATGCTCTCACCATTCCATGCGGGAGCACGAACACGATCGGAGGTACGGGTGTGATTGGGTGACGTAGTCCACGGAGCGCGCAACAACAGGAGAGAGCAGGAAGGAGGAGGAGCAAGCAGAGATGGAGCAGAAGAAGAAGGATGGGAAGCATGAGCAGAAGTAATCGCATGAACGGAAGAGAAAACGGAGATAAGAAATCATGGGGGCCAGACAGGTCGAGGAGAGGAGCACAATGATAGGGCGGAAGAAGTTGAGGACTGTGGGAGCCAAGCCAAAGCAAGCATAACCGCTGCATATGAGGCAAACCACGGCATTAAGGCATGGACTTCACACGGCAGGTTTTGTTTTTGGGGGGGGGGGGGAATTTTGTGGCATAGCAAGAACTAGCAGTCGTATGGATCATAATTCATTGAGAAGCAGTGCGGCCTGCGATTAGTCTCTGTGCGGGCAGGTTTCCCACTGTACGACGTGCTCTGCCAGTACCAGGGGGTCGAGATCCGCTTTTACGATCTCCTTCCAGACCATAACTGGGAAATCGACGTGACCTGCGAGGGAGAATTGCCCCAGTTTGAGAGCGGAAAGCAGTGCTGTCGGCGTGCACAGGGCAGAAGCGGAACGAGAAAACGAAGAGTTTGATCCGAGACAGCATGACGGAGATAAAATGGGAGGCAGATGTGAAAGTGATGAGGAGGATGGTTCTCGTGTCGTTGATTGAACCAACTATCTTTGTAATCGGTTTGTGTTCGGAATTCGTACAACACGTGTCTTGCACACCGTTGCCAAGTGTGCGTTCTGAATGTTTGTCCGCTAGGAATGGGGATGATTGGGGGCATGAAGAGTTCAGTTCGTCTTCGGGCCGTTTCGCGGCGTCGCTGTTGAGAGGCCGTGCGGATGGCCAGGTGAAGAGTTTGGATGGGCTCGTTGACAAGAACACTCGGGCGATCATCATCAACAACCCGTCCAACCCATGCGGGGCGGTGTACTCTCGTGCACATTTGACATCGGTGCGCCATGGGCAATCGTCGTCACAATTTGGCTAAAGGGAGTGCCGCATACGAGGCTGGGTACAAAGCGACGCCAGCAGAACTGAGGTTGGGAAGGAGGTGAAGGGATGTCCCACATACCCGAATCGATCCTTTTGTCCTCGCTTCTCCGCGTTGTCGTTACCGGCGCCCCTACTCCATGCTCCCCTCTCGTCAACGCCACTGTCTCGAGCGTTGCTCGCAGCCGTCCAGTGCGAGCACTACGGGACTCTTGAACTTATAGACTACATACAGCTACGGGCCCGAATCGGATCGGGTACCCTACTTCCTACTGCTCCCCTATCCTCATTGTCCTGCTCGTTGTCCTGCTCCCCTTTGTCGCTGGCTGAACTCAGTGCCAGCCTGAGGTTTGCCCACCGCTCGCTTGGCTTCGGTTCCTTGATCCCTTCGCTCGGCAATCGTTCCTCTAGGGCCCCCGCCGCCTTTCTCCTTTGCTCGGTCGGGGGCCCGGCCCCTCTGTTCAGTCTGACCCCTCTGACCGCAGAGGCCGTGGAACGCACCCTTTCGAGCAGCTGCATCCAATGCTGGTAGCGGTGTCTTTGTGACTTGCTTTCTGTATCGTTTCGCCGATTGCCGCAGGTCCCAGCCGCCCCCCCCCCCCCCTTTACCCAAAGACCCGATCTTGGCTGCTGTGGGCTGCTGCTGTGGGCGACTGGTCAGGCCTCCCCCCTCCCAGCCTGCTTGCGCGACTGATGAAAGCAGATCGGCAAAGCACCGGGCCAGACCCATCGGCTAAGCACGGGCCCATACCCAGACCCCACCTCGCCTACCTTTTCGGCCAAACGTCGAAACCCAGATAAAGACACGCTGACCTGCCCTTTCACGCCCCCTTCCCCTTCCTCTGCCCGTGCTGCTGCTACTCCTCTTCCAGACGGTCTGGCCAGGTCCCTAGAGGCCGCCGGTTGCATCCAAGGTCTCCAGAGCCCTCTGGAGGTTGGGAGTAGATCATAAGCGTCCCACATGTTGAATCGTCGTCCTTCTTCTTTGCCTCTCCTCCTCAGGACTCATGACTGCGGACACCGGTTGCTCGGGGCGGCGCCCTGGTCTCTTCCTTTTTTGACACTGCTCGGACTTACTGCTATAGCACACAGCGTTCATTGGTCTCCTTCTCCTCCTCCTTCCTCCTTCCCTTTCCTCTTTCCCCCCCCCTTCACATCGCAGGCGATGTTTCTATCCCAACCCCCGACTTTTCGTCGAAAAATGGAGCGGCTCAGAAAGGAGGGAAACCCTGGGATACACCCCCAGGGGGCTATTCGGACGCACCCCTATCGAGGATGGACGCCCCCCCTCGTATATCCCAGGGTTGGGCCCCAATTTTTGAGGTCCATTCGAGAGTCCCACGAAGCCTAGGATAGGGGTCGACATATCCCCTGTTATCACACTCCTCTCCTTCCCCATCCCGCGCCTGGCCTGGAGTGCGCTCGCGTCGCCGGGTGGTGCTCGGCCCCTCGGCCCCCTGGTTCCGAGACAAAGACGTTGCCCTCCTCCCGCCTCCTCGCGTGAGATCCGGCGCCGCGAAGCAAAAAATCACAGCAGCAAATCCTTTGGAGTCACGACAAGAGCCCTACACCCTGCGAAATGCTGTAGAAATCATGGGTTAAGAAATTCATAGTCTCAGAACTTGAATAAAAACCCAGAATTTCGATCGAAATCTTAGGATTCACATCGAAACATCAAGAATAATCGAGACTCTGGCCGAAAACGGAAGTTTTCTTAAGCATCGCCTGGGGTGTAGACCCTAGATCCAAACTTTTTTGCGACGACTTTGGAGCCACGTCCATCGCGAGGGCCCCGGGGCCGAAAATCTGAGCGAGATCGCCGAAGGGAAGCAACGCGCAGTCAGGATCTCAGGGTCCTGGAGGGAGTCCTCCCCCTCCCCGTCCTTCACCTCCTCGTCCTCCCCCTCCCCCTTCCTCTTCTCCTCCTCCTCCTCCTCCTCCTTCTGCTCGAGGCCCGAGGCTTAGGACTGGCTTCCTGTCGGAGCGAAGCCCTCGTCTCCTCCTCCTCTTCCTCCTTCTCCTCTTCGTCGCCCTGCCGCCCCCCCCCCCTCTCCCTCGTTGGGCCTCCTCCCCCTCTGCGCTCCACCTCCCCGCCCCCCCCGCGCTGAAAAGAGCACCCGCCCCCGCGGAGAGGTGCTGGCCGCGTGCGACAGGCTCCGCCTCCCTGTGATCGCGGACGAGGCACCCTCCGTCGGGGAGATTGATCGTGGCAGCTTCGCGGGGGGGGGGGGGGGGAACGCCCTCCTCCTCCATCCATCGATTCGTCCATCCTTCCATCCATTCAGCCAGCCATCCATCCATCCATCAATCCATCTATTCATCCATCGATCCATCTATGCATCATCCATCGATCCATTCATCAATCCACCCACCCGCCCATTCATCCACCCATCCGTCATCCATCCAAGCATCCATCCATCCATCCATCGTTCCATCCACCCATCCATCCATCCAGCCATCCATCCCTTCTTCTCCCCATCGCATCTCCTCCCTCGTTCCTTCTCCTCCTCATCCTCGTCCTCTTGCTCCTCTTCACTCGTCATCATCAGCATCAGCATCATCAGCATCATCATTATCATCATCGTGATCACCACCATCAGCAGCATCATCATCATCATCACCATCATCATCATCATCGTCGTCTGGAACATCATCACCATCATCATCACCATCATCATCATCATCATCACCATCATCAGAATCAACAGCATCGGCATCACCAGCATCACAATCACCATCACAATCACCACGAGCATCATACTCATCATCAGCACCATCCCTGTCACCACCATCAACACCATCATCATCGCCATCGGCATCATCATCATCATCATCATGAACATCATTTTTTCCATCAGGATAAGCAATCTCACCATCATCATTATCAACATCATCGTCATCATCATCAGCATCACCATTGTCATCATGCTCACCATCGTCATCGTCAGCAACATCACCATAAGCATCAGCATCATGATCACCATCACCATCACCATCATCATTATCATCATCATCATCATCACCATCACCAGCACCATCATTAGCAACGCCATCACCACCATCAGCATCATCATTATCAGCATCGTCATCGTCATCGTCAGCGTCATCATTATTTGTATTGTCGTCAGAACGCGACGGAGCTCGACGCGTACGGGCGGACGCGGAGCGGGGAGGATCAGGTGCGGGCGCGCGTCGGCCTATGCTGCAAAGTGTTGATTTGGGCCAGGCCTCTCCCAGCAGCTCCCAGCAGTGGATCGGCGAGGCGCTGGTGTTGTGGACGCGCCTGGAGGGCTCACCAACATTTACGACGCGAGCCGCGCGCAGGCGTGGACGTTGGGCGCCCTTGACCGTCTGCCGCTGTACGCCGTGCGTTCGGGTGTGGCCCAGGGCGTTCCGCAGAGTGGCTCGAACTTCGCTCTCGGCGTCTACCCGTTCGCGTTGGCCATGGAGTCCCGCTTCGCTGCGCTGCCGCCTGAGGAGGGCCGTGGGCTCTCGCGGTGGTGCGCGGACGATTGCGGCGCGGCCGCGGAGGGAGCAGGATGGAGGAAGTCCCTCGCGGAGGCACCCACGGAGGTGGAGGCGTATGCGGACCTGGTGCTCAAGACGACGAAGTGCGTCGCTGTCCCTCTGTGGCCGGCCTTCGACGCTACGGCAAGGAAAGGTTCAGAGGGAGCTCGCAGAGACCGCCCCGGCGTGGGCCGCCAACGTGGCATCCCAGTGGGCAGCATCTTTGAAGAAGTGGCGCGGCCGCACCCGCGCGCTGAAGGTCATTCCCATGGACGGCGTTGCGTTGGGCCTGGCATATCGCACGAGGCACCCTGGTCACGACTTACGTGAGCCAGCTCGTACCGCTGCTTGGTGCGCTCGTAAAGGACGAGCGCCACGTCCTCACCTCGCTCCTCCGCTGCCCTGGGAGCTTCCTGCCAAAGCTCTCGCTTGGCTCACGCTCCGCGTGTAGGGCCGGCCGTGGCTACCCTCAGTGCGCGTGACGGCCCTGGCGGCGAACATGCGGGCCGCGGAGGTGACGCTGACCCTGGAGCCGCGGCTGCGGGCGTGGGCCGAGGAACACATCCCGATGCTGCAGTCGATGCGCGGCGCTTGGGCCCCCGTGGTGGCAGGCGCCTGCCTTCGTGAGCAGCCGCGCGGAGGCAGCGCACGGCGAAAAAGTTACGTGTTGGACAAGCGTGTGCAGTGCGCCCACGCGCGCGCGGCATGTGTCGTCTTGCGCGCCATGCCAGCCGTGGTTAAGCCGCCCTACTTTGCCGGCTGGGACGAGCTGCCGAGGATTGGGGTGGAGCACCTCCGCAAGGCCGCGCTCAGATTCAGGGAGAGGACTGCCGTCGGCCAGACAGGCATTGCCCCGAGGGCCCTGTGGCAGCTCAGCGTCTTCGGTTTGTACGTGCTGTCCGCGCTCTTCCGTCGGTGTGAAGGGCTCGGGGAGTGGCCGTCGACCAGGCTGTGCACGGTATTGGTTCGGCTGCCCAAAGAGAGCGGAGGTTGCAGGTTGATTGCCCTTGTCACTTCTTTTCTTCGGCTATGGGCCAAGGCGAGATCTACGAATTCGAAGGCGTTTTTGGCCAACGGAGACGTGCCCAACCTCTGGGGCACGGGCGGAGCTGGCAGGACGTCGTCGGCAGCGGCCTTCCACCACAACCTCACAGCGGAGAGCGCGACCCGTGACGGAGACCACGGCATCGTCGTGCTCCTAGACGCTCGGAAGGCTTTTGATAGTCTCATCGGGAGGCAGGTGCTGCACGCGGCCGAGTACATGGGCTACCCGTTGCGCTTCATGTGGGTGATCCTCATGCACCGCCACTTGCCGACGCGCTTTAAGGCATTCGGCTCGCTCTCGAAGAGCTACGTGGCGCACCTGGGCGTCCTCGCGGGCTGCTCCCGCTCGATGGCTGCGCTGGCGGCGGCGTCGGCCAGGGCTCTCAAGCGGCTGGCCAAGTGCGACGTCATCCCGAGGACCTTGGCTGACGACGCTTCCGCGCAGAGGGTCGGCGTGGACTTGCAAGGAGCGCGCGTGCAAGCGCTACAAGAATGACGTCGCAGACGTGGGCCCGGTGCTGCAGGTGCTCAGGTCTGGCCACGCGGCGTCGACGCGGCAGGGCATGGTGGCCGCCGAGCCTATCGCCGGGCGGGTCAAGATCGGGGCCTGCTAGCACACGCGCAACCTGGGCCACGACCTCAACGGGTCCAAGGCGTGGAGGGTGGTCGCCAGGACCAGGCCCAGGAAGCTTTGGCCACTCATGCGACGGGCGATGAGGCTGAGGCGTCCTGCAGGTGCTAGAGGCCCAGGAAGATTCGGCCACTCATGCGACGGGCGATGAGGCTGAGGCGTTCTGCAGGTGCTAGAGTGTCGCGCCTGTGGCAGCAGACGAGATTCCTGCCAGCTGTGGCCCATGGCGCTGCCGCGAGCGGAGTGGCCCCGTCCGAGCTGGCTGCGGTGCGCACCGAGGCCGCGCGGCTTGCAGGGGCCACGGGCTGAGGAGGCAGCGTCGTGCTCTACCTCGCCAGCTCGAGGAACCCGTACTATGACCCGATCTTCGCGGCGACGGTTGAGCCGCTCGTGTACCATGCGATGTGGGATCTGGCAGCAGGACATTGGCCTGGGCGCGATGAAGTGCGCCTGGCGAGTGCTGCTGGATAAGTTCGAAGCTGGAGAGGACAGGCTGGCGTGGGTGTCGGCCCGGGGCCCGTTCAAGGTAGTCATCCTCTCGCTCAAACAGATCGGCTGGGCCATGCGTTCGCCGCTCATGATCAAGCCAGATGAGGGGCCAATGGTTTCGGTTCTGGCCACGCCGCCTCGATTTGTCGCGATCTCCTCAGACGGGATCCAGCGCTGGCAGATGCGCCAGATAGCTGAGCACCGCTCTGCTGCGCCGCCGAGCCGCCTGCCCTGGCCGAGAGGCCGCCGCGCATCTGCGCGGGGGAGGTCGACGACGGCGACGGGGGCGGGCCGGGTGAGAGCGCTTCGCAGCCTGCGGTCTGAGTGTCTGTGACCCAAGGCTAAGCTCAACAAGCACGGTCTGTGCGATGACCAGAGGTGTAGAGCCTGTCCGCATGAGGCCGAGACGCTCGGCCACGCTTTCATCGAGTGCCCTGGGCTGACACAGCGCCTGCTTGATGACGAGGAAGAACGTGGCCTCGACCCGAGTTTCGCGGGTGCCCGTGACGTCACGTTGGAGCAGGGGCCTGTCGGCGAGAGACCGCAAGATCTCGAGTCGTTTGCTGTCGCGATCGGAATCCCTCGGCGGCCCAGCGTGGATGCGCCGCAGCCGCCGAGCGACCACCCTTGCTTTTTCTGGGGAGACTGGGACTCGCCCAAAGAAGTTTGAATCTTATATTTATATATATATACACATAACCGGCGGCTCTGGATATCGCAATGATGTCCGAGAGTTGCGTCGGTGTGGCTGGCCAGCCGTTATGCTGAATTCCAACGGAGTCCTTCTGCGCGTTGTGTACGGCGGGCTCGCAGGCGTACAACAGACAGTCGGACGGGCCGAAAGACTGGCTGGGCTGAGGACGCTACAGCATATGCCCCCAGTCGAGCTGCTCGGTTTCGTACGGGAGGGCGAACTCTGGCGCGATGGCGCGGTCGAAAAAGTGACCCGTGCCAGTGTTCCGTGCCCGGGAGTGTGGAGACAGCCCGTGAGGCTGAATCGCGAGCCGCCACATTTTGTTTGGGTCCCTGCCCACATGACCGAGGATGAGGTTTTCCCTGCCCCTGGGGACCCTCCTCTTCCACCCTGCCTCTGGCTTGTGGGAAACATGTGGGCCGATTTGTTTTGCCAGACTGGGGGGCCCTGTCTATCAAGGCCCCCGATGGCCACGCGAGGTTTTTTAAGGAATCTTTTTTTCCAGGGGCCGCCCAGTACGCGAAGTATCTAGGCTGGGCGGTCCATCGAAGCTGCCCGCCCGAGTTGCGGTCTGGCAAGGCGGTGCTCGCGCCTGGGGTCAGGCCTTCTGTTCATGCGGAACAAAAGATTGCCCTGTTGTTGCGCAGCCATGATTTGGTCGAGAAAGGTGGCAGGCCGTGCTGCAGGACGTGCAGACGGTCTGCCAGGACGCCCGGGGCAAGGCGACCGCTGGCTGGCGGCACGGACAGGCGCTGCCACCCCTCGGCCATCCACACCCTGCAGGCGAAGATCCTGGAGGTTGCCGCCGGTAGCCGCCTGCCTGCTGGGTTTGTGGGGTCGGTGGGCGCTGGGGGTTCGGGGGTGGCGTCGTCTCGAGGGTGGCCTGAGATGCCGTCGGGCCCGTGGCCTCGTTGGGGCTGGACCCTGCTGGGCCCTCTGGGGGGGGGGGGGGGGGGGGGGGCTGTGCCTGCCTGTGGGGGCGAGGCTGGGGCCCCTGTGGGGGTGGCCTCGGGCTCTGGAGAGCCTGGGGCGGGTCCGCTCAGGCTCTCCGCGCCTGGGGGACACGACGCTACCGCCACGGGTTCGGTCGTCTGCTGTCGGCGGTGCGGGGCCTACGGGTCCGCCAAGGTGGGCAAGGCCTTTGGGGCCCCCTGCCCTGACCCCAAATACTTGGCCCCCAACGGGCTGACGGTCCTCAACAGCTTGCTGGGGGGCAAGCGCCCCAAGTCTGGCCGACCCCTGGATGGGGAGTGGCGGACTGGGTTTTCTTCTCTCCCCCTGGTGGTAGAGCTGTTTCTGTGAGCAGACGCTGTCTCCTTACGGCATTCCTGCATTCGCTCCTCTTCCTTCTCCTCCTCTTTCCTCCTCCTCCTCTTTCCTCGTCCTTCTCCTTCTCTTTTTCCTCATCCTGCTCCTCCTGGCTTCTGCTTTCGGGTCCCGTCACCTGGTCCTATCTGCGTACGTCGCTTTTTTTTTTTTTTTTTTTTTTTTTTTTTTTTTTTTTTTTCTCTGGCATGTGGGGAGGAAGAGGAGGATGAGGATGAGGAGGAAGAGGAGGAGCAGGAGGGGGGAAATGATGAGCAAAAGTAAGAGGAGGAGGAGCAGGAGGAGGAGGAAGAGCAGGAGGAGGACCAGGACTCGGAGGACGCCACGCCAGCTATATTCACCTTCGATATACACCGATCCTGGCCAGGCAGCATGGTGTATTTGCCTCCCTGCCCCGGCCAGGAAGGCGCATGTACCAGTCGTGGGCCCAGGTGGGCAGGAGGCGTGTGGATGGCGCCCTCCTACACAGGGCGAGGGGCATGAGGAGCCCCCGGGCCCGGCACCGTGGCCAAAGTCAGCACCGCGGAGAGACCAAGCCTTTGCAAACGGGGTGGTAGAACACGGGGTGGTAGCTAAGGGGCCCCTGCGAGCGAGTCCAGGGTGACAGGGCAATTGCCTCGCACTAGTGCGTGATAAATCGGGACGACAAAGTCGTCTACACATCATCATAACTCTGGGCGGGGGGGATTACCCGCACTTGTAAGCGGCAAATCACTACTTCGATCGGCGTCTGCCTCAGTCGGCGTGTATGCTTTTCCCGGCTCGGATGCAGTACGTCAGAGCAGCAGCTGTTCTTGCGCATGCGCCCGTGGACTCCATGGACACGGTGGCATTGCGACCGCGCGAGCAATAAACAACACAAACAAATAATGCAACATTGCGGGGAAGCGCGGCCGGAGCACTAGAGAGAATATCATGGAAAAAAACAGAAGAGCTCAAACGAATCTTTGAATTTCGAGAACAAAATGTTCAACCGACCAAAAGTCACCCCAACTCTGTTCGGGTGCTCGTTGACTCGTGGGCGAGGAGTTGATCCTTATCCGCGACCCCTCGCGGGCCAGGCCCCGGGGCCGCGATCCGCAGATACGGGGCGTGTTTGGCCGCGCATGCCTGGCGCGGAGTGTATCTGTGCGGCCGCGTATCCGTCGGGGGTGGACAGAATCCCCAACAGTGACACGTCGATTAGTGAATTGTCCGTTTTCGGTTCTCGAGAGGGAGCCGTGGCCGTTATTTTCCAGGCTTGCGCCCGCCAGGTTTGGGCCTCAGGTCGTTTTCACTAAACCACGTTTTACTAAAGGGGGGTCTGTCCATCCCCGAATCCGCGAGATCGCGACCCCGAATCTAGACCGCGAGGGAGGGGATTCGGATTTGGTTGCCGCTCGTGACTAAGACGTGCGCATGTCGCCCACTTGTGGGGCCCGCGGCGGTAGTGCCGCTTCCCCACAATCCTCGATCCCCTCGTTGCCGTCAGCCCGATTGCTGCGGCCCTTCACCAGCCGGATCGATCCGCGCGGGCCCCAGGGCCCATGATTCGGGCGAAGACGCCGGGGCTGGACAAGATTGCCGCTCCGGGATCATCAGGGAGAACCGGGCTCGCCCTCGGCTGGCTGCAGCTGGCTCCCACCATATCTCGCACGCGACTCCTCGCCCCCAATCCCCCGAGGTCTGCCCAAAAAAGTGGCCTCTCATGGTAGACAGGGAACCTGGGGATACATACATACACCCCCTGGGGGGGTCTATTCGGACGCACTCCAATATAACCCCGAGCTTTGCATCAAATTTTGTGTCCAGTCAAAACTCCCAGGAAGTCGGGCATTGGGGTCGCCATACGATTCACCCTCTTTCCTCTGCCTTCCCCTCCGCGGCTGCGCCCGCAGCGGAGGTGCACGCGGTCACGAGCTTGGGCTCGGACGGCCAGCGAGGCAACGGCAGTCCTCCCCAGCGTGTGTCGTCTTTTTTTTCTTCTGCCTCCCGGAGGTTTGTCGCCGCCACGGCCGGATCCGCCCGAGAAGACGGGCCAGCATGAACCCCCCGGAGGGGTTTGGGGACCGCGCTTGAGCGGATTGTCTGGGCCAGGCGGGAGGGAGAAGCAGTTGTTTCGATCTGCGGGCACGATTTGTGTCCATATCCATTGTTGCTTGAAGTTTCGGGCTCCCTTACCCAGAAACCCGAGGCGCACTCGATGTGCGTAAACATCAGGCTCCAGAGGTTCGAGTTTTTACCCATATCCAGTGCGCCTCGGCCATGTGGCCGCCCTCTCAAGAAAGTCCAAGACGCACTGGATATGGAAATACATTTTGCCCGCGCGATCGACCCTCTCCCAGATCTCCTCCGCCCTCCCCCCGACCAGCCGCACCCACACCCCGAAGGTGTACGCGGGCATGAGCTTCAGCGAGCCCTACGTCCAGTGCGCCGAGGTAACCTCCAGCGTCCCGGTGCTGTCGGTCTTGCCGCCTCCCCCTCGGGGGTCCCTAAACGGGGTGGTGACCGCACCGTGCGGTGAGTCGGTGGGGATTCGGGGTCACCGCACGGTTTCGGGGCTCGGGTCGTTCTCCGAGGATGTCTCGGGCGACAGGGGCCACCGGGGTCCCAAGACCGTGCAGTGACGGAAAGTGTGGTGAGGTCAGGGGTTTTCGAGGTCACCGCACGGTCTGTCACCGCACCGTTTCGGGACCCCAAACCTCCGCACCGCCCGCCCTGGGGTGGGGCAGTCATGCGTCGACACCGCTCGAGTAGGGAATCGATGGCAGTATTGATTTGCCCCAGAATTTATGGTCCTTCGCATCTGCGAAAAATGTGTGTAATTTCCGAACGTCTACGGAGCATCCCAGTTCGGCGCTCTGCACCAGAGGTCCCGACCCGTCCCCCAGGATCCGCTTCCGCCCTAGATCCAGCATGGGTGGCCCTGGGGCCCGATGAGGGGCCCCAGGGGCCGACATCGAGAGAAAACGCCAGGGATGGCGGACCTCCGACCCTGACTCGCACCGCTCCTGACGCCCGGCGGGCCCCCGCCGCACCCCGCCACTTCGCTGGCCCGCCCCGTGGCCTATCCCTGCCCCCCCCTCGCGCACCCTTTCGATCCCCCCTTGCTGCGGGGCGGAGGTGTGCCCGCAGCCACCGCCTGCGGGATTCCGCTCTTTGGGGACCTCGGCGGGCGGTGGATAGTCGCACGGTCGCCCCTGCAGGGCAGAACGAGATGAAAGCCGTGCGTCCATGGTGCAGGGCGCCTCCGAGGGCGCGAAGTTATTCGCGCTTCGCGGTTCGCGGTTCGGCTCCGATTCCGCCCCATCTTCCTATTCTCCCATGGGGGGGCGGCGCGAGAGCGCCAATGTAGTCGCGTTTCGCGCAGCGCGAAGCACGAAATTAGGCGCCCTTGCTTGGGGCCTTGCAGGGAGGAGGAGGAGGAGGAGGAGGAGGAGGAGGAGGAGGAGGAGGAGGAGGAGGAGGAGGAGGAGGAGGAGGAGGAGGAGGAGGAGGAGGAGGAGGGGGGAGGAGGAGGAGGAGGAGGAGGAGGAGGAGGGGGAGCAGCTCTGGCCGGAGCTCGAGCCAGAACGAGAAAGCCGTGCATCCACGATAGAAGCGCGGGCAGGTCGCGCGGTTGAAGACATCTCCAGGGCGAAGGCAGGCGCGCCCAGGAGCAGGAGGAGCAGCAGGGGGGAGGTGCAGGCTCGGCTCTGCAGGGCCCCAGTGTATCCACGCCCACCGCCCGCCGAGGTCTCTGGGGGTCGATCCCCCAGGCGGAGGTTGTTGTGGGCAACTCCCCGCCACGGAATCGCCCCCCCCCCCCCCCCCCCACCCACCCACCAACCCACAGACCTCCGACCCCCCGCTTTCCTCGAGAAGCGGGCTCCTGGACCTCTAGGCCTTTTCCACGGGGGCCGGTGCTTCGTCTCCAGCCGCTTGCCGACGGCCTCTGGGGCCCAGAAAGAGCCCCCAGGGTGCCGAATGTGAGCATTTGCTGGCTCTGCTCGATTGTACACCTTAGGCGATGCTTAAGAAAACTTAAGTTTTCGGCCAGAGGCTCGATTATTCTTAACGTTTCAATGTAATTCTTAAGATTTTCATGGAAATGTTGGGTTTTTATTCAAGTTCTGAGACTATGAATTTCTTAACCCATGATTTCTTAAGCATTTCGCAGGGTGTACTTGATTCCGCTGCCTCCAACCCCACCTCGCGCTTCTCCGTCGGTCTGCGCCCTGTCGAAGAAGTGGCTCGCGCCGGGCTGGCGGGTCGGCTGGGTCGTGGCCCACGACGCCAGCAGGACAGGCTATCGCAGAGTTTTGGGGAACATGTGTGCGACGAGCACGAGGTGCAAACCCAATTCGATGAAATGTTGTTGTCAAGTCGTTGTTGTGTGCATTTTTTTTTGATTCTGTATCGGAGATGCCAGGAAGAGAGTGAGTGCCATGGGGAACAGCAGAGAAAGGTCGCCCATGCCGGGCCTCGGCAAAATCGGCTCAGTCTCGGAGGCGCGGCGCCCACCTGAAGGCGGTGTGGGCGCCGCGCTGTCACTTACACGCCGCAGAGGCTTGGCGGTAAGTGGATACTCCATCGTCCTCCTCCTCCTCCTCCTTCTCCGCCTTCTTCTCCTCCTCCTCCTCCTCCTTCTCCGCCTTCTTCTCCTCCTCCTCCTCCCTCCCCCTCCCCTGCCCTTCCTACCCCTCCTCCCCTTCTCCTGCCGCGTCGACGCGGCAGGAACCTGCCGTACCTTGCCCGCCCTGCCCATCCCTTGCCCCCCTCCGCCGTCCGTGCCTCCCGCTCCTGTGATACTTCATTCCCCCCTCTGCATCCCGCGCGACCCCAGCGCGGGCGTTCCGGGTCGAACGCCGCTAGCGGCTTCGGATCGGCCGATGTCGAACGGCTTGCGCTATCGAACAGCCGCGGATGCTCTATTCGGGAAACCATGAGCACAGGCAGTCACGACACGAGTCGAGCCCGCGGCAGTGGAGCACGATCTGGATGGAGGGGGATAAACGATTCCTTGCGTTGAGCTCCCCATATGTGCATCCATTTGGATTGACCTTTATTCCGTGAGTGTTGAGGCGCAAAAGACTTCGACAATAAGCGGGCTTTGGTATTGGCAGACCGGGAGCAAATTTAATTTTGCCTGACTTGGAGTGCGAATGCGTCCCAATAGTACGAGTGAGTCTATGCACATGAGTCTGAGTATGTCAAAGTTTTGGATGAGTGTATCAAAGTGTCAGTAGCCTAATCATGCCTGAGCGTGATTCAGTCGAAGTGGCTACGCGATCCCTCCCTCCAGGATGGAGCAAGGAATAGGAATGCGCATGCAAACGTCGTGCGAAACCCCTGCGTTGCGCTGGCTGGCCAAGAAAATCTCACGCAGTGGCTGGACCGTGATACAGCCAAGCACGCCACTGAGAGGAGAGGCCCAATCTATAGGAACAGACATTGATGTTTACCCATGATGTGACACATCTCATGCTCTTGCGAACATCCCACCCACCCACCCGCAACTTGGTTTGCAAAACCTCTTAAGACCGTGACGGTAGGTTCCAAATGACACTTGGCAACGACACCAGCGCCGACGACGACGACGACGGACAACGCCGACGACGACTACGACGACACCGACGACGTCTCCGACAACTTCGACGACGACGACAACGACGACGACGACGACGACGACGACGACACCGACGACGACGACGACGACGACGACGACGACGACGACGCCGACGCCGACGACGACGACAACGACGACGATGACGACGCCGACGACGACGACGCCGACGACGATGACGACGACGACGACAACGGCGGCGACGACGACGACGCCGACGTCGACGACGACGACAACGCCGACGCCTACGCCGACGCCGACGCCGACGACGACGACGTCGCCAACGAAGACGACGACGACGACGACAAGCGAGGAGGGAGCACGACGACGACGACAACGACGACAACGACGAGGGAGGAGGGAATACGGCGACGACGCGAACGACGAAGAAGGAGGGAGGACGGCGACGCCGACGACGACAACGACGAGGGAGGAGGGAAGACGACGACGACGACGACGACGACGACGACAGCGACGAAATAGGAGGGACGACGACGAGACGCAGACGACGGACGACGACGACGACGAGGGAGGAGAAGGAAGGACGACCACGCCGACAACGACGACGGAAACGACCACGACGCAAAAGAGCGCGACGACGACGAATACGAGGAAAGACAGAGGACGACGTAGGCGACGACGACGAGGACGCGGGAGGAGGGAGGACGGCGACGACGACGACGACACCGACGCAAGAGCGCGCGCGCACGGTTTCATTGAAAGTCCGTGTTGCGAAACCTTGTGTTTTTATATGTTTTTTGGACACACGATTGTGAAATCCTTCCGAAACCGATTGGTTTTGAAGGATTTCGGCATACGCGCGCGACGGCGCGCGCGTCTGCACTTCGTCCCTTTTTTTGCAGAGGATTCTCGCGACGGCACACGCGCAAGGGCGTTCGACAGAGTTCGACATGCGCGCGCGATTCCCGTTTGGTAGCATGTTGTGAAAGTCTTGAAAAAAAGCTGTATGGGTTTGTTAAGATTTCGCAAGAGCTCGCGCGTGAGCTTTTTTAGCAAATCAGTGTTGCGAAACCAAGTGTTTTCGTATGTTTTGTGGGAACTCATTGCGAACTCCTTCCGGCACCGAAGGTTTTTGAAAGATTTCGGCATGCGCGCGCGACGTTGCGCGCGTGTGCACTTCGTTTTTTTTGCACGGGGTCCGTGAAAAAGTGTTCTGTCAGAACGGAAGATGTCCCCGCGTATCGTTTTTTACAAGGGAGCCTCAGGGGGGTCGATCCCGGCCCCTCCGGGATAGTGTAAATTCATATTTAGGATTGACATGTGGTCATAATCATATATGATTTACATGCCCGAAAAGGGGGGGATAACGCCGGGGGTGGGGGTAGAGTCTATTCTGTTTTTAGAAAGGAGAATGAACCACTTAGGTCTGGAGCCACTGGAGAGGGGGCAATGGAGAGGAACATACGTAAAAGCACGGGTTCGTGCCCAATCTATAGGATCACGCGTGATACACTTGGGATTGGAGTCTCTCCTGTGGCCTCATGGGGCCTCCTGTGGAATCATGGGGCCTCATGGGGCCTCCTGTGGTTTCCTGGGGCCTCCTGGAGCCTTCTGGGGCCCACTGGGGCTGGGCGGTCTGTGGCGTCCTGATGCTTCCTGGGGCCTCCCGCGGCCTCCCGGGGCCTCTCGGGGCCTCCTGGGGCCTCCTGGTGCTTCTTGGCGCCTCCTGAGATTTCCTGCGGCCTCTAGGGAGCTCCTCGAGCCTCTTGGGGCTTGTTGATTCGCAATCTACAGGAACATGTGTAAACAACCAGAGATTTGTGCCCCAGGAAAGGCCAAATCTACAGGCACATGCGAAAACTACTTAGGATTGGAGCTGCAAGAGAAGGGGCAATATATAGGGACAGACGTACGCCATCAAGGATTCGTGCCCACGAGTCGCCCAATTTATAGGAACATACGTAAACAAAAACTAAGGATTGGAGCCACTCTTGTGGCCTCCTGGAGCCCCCTGGGGCCTTGTGGGACTTCCTGGACCTCCTAGGGCCTCCTGGGGTCTCCTGGGGTTAACTGCTCGAGACATCCATGCAAGATGGGCGCAAACTGAGAAGTGACCCCTTGGTTGTTTCCGCCTGGGTGTGCTGAAACCAGCGCCTTGCCCGAGGCATGCTCAGAATCACCTCTGAACGCAGACGAGTCTGGCTACCAAACCAGGCAAACCGCTCGAGACATCCTCGCAATCGGAGCCGCCTGGGGTGCAAAAGCCAGCGCCTGGCCCGAGACATCCTCAAAATCTGCCCTGACAGCGGAGGATGTTGGGCACGCTAATGAGCAAATCGTTCGAGGCGTCCCCACAATCTGGGCGCGAACGGGCCCGTGTCATACCCCCCTGGCGCCCCCCCTCGGGCGTGCTGAAACCAGCTTCTCGCCAGAGACATCCTCATACTCCGCTCTGAACGCAGACGAGTCTGGCCACCAAAACTATCAATCCGCTCGAGACATTCTCGCAATGTAGGCCCCGTGGGGTGCTGAAAAAAGCGCCTCGCCAGAAAGAAACCCATCCTCATCATCATATTCGCAATCGTATGAATCATCAGCATCCACATCATCATCATCATCCTCATCATCATCCTCATCCTCATCGTTTTCGCCATTGTCATCGTCGGCGTCGTCGTCAGCGTCGTCGTCGTCGTCCTCATCATGCCCATCATCGTCCTCACCCGCATCATCATCATCATCATCATCATCATCATCATCATCATCATCATCATCATCATCATCATCATCAACATCATTGTCGTTCTCAACACCAGTATCGGCACCAACATCCTGCTCACCATCATCTTTTCGCCATCAGCATCAGCTTCCGCATCGTCATCAACATCATCATCAGCATCGTCGTCGTAATACTAATAAGCATCAGCATCATCAGCATACTTGCCACCATCATCATCAAACTAATCAATATCGTCGTCATCATCATCATCGGCGTCATCCCCATCACAATCAGCATCATCAGCCTCATCCTCACTGTTATCATCATCATTATTATTATTGCTATTATTATCACCAGCACCATCATCACCATCATCACCATCATCATCAGCATCAGCATTGTCATCATCAGCAGCAGCATCATCATCATCCTCACCATCAGCATCCTCAGCATCACCATCGTCACAGTTCAGCGTTAGTATCTTCCTTCTCCACCACATCATCATCACCATCATTCGAAAGGCGGATAGGGGGAGGAGGAGGAGGAGGAGGAGGAGGAGGAGGAGAGGGAGGAGGAGGAGGTGGTGAGGCGAGGCGTCGGCGCGGTCAGAGCAATATCAAGATGTGGGGAGCAAACGAGAGACGACACGCATTGGAGCTGAGACATCCAGACATCCTGGCTGGGCTCCGACGGAGCATGGGGGAGGGATGCCGCAGCTCTCTTCGGGTAGGGGCATTGCTGAGGGCGAGATGTGCGTGTGTGTGTGTGTGTGGTGGGAATCAGGAGTCAGCAATATCCAAATCGAAGAGGTGCAACCTTCACTTCGAGCCCTTTTCCGGAAACGGTCATTATATTGCCACCGAGTGCGGGTGATTAGATCGGGGCGGCATTATATTGCGAGAGAACGTAGTTGATCCTTAGCACAGCCACTCCCGACAAAGCCATGCACGCACTGTCTGCCAACATATTTCTTTGTGGGGCTCGTGCACCCACCCACAGCCGACGTGGACCCAACAACCCACTTGGGGACGTGTCCGTGCGTGTGGGGGGATGTCGGAGGAAGGAGCGGCGATACCACCTTTGACAGGGGATGCCTCGAGCGAGAGGGGGGGCGAGACCTGACCGCAAAGAGCACCCGCTCTGGCGCCCTGTGCTGGTGGTGGTCGTGGTGTCGCCTCGCCTTGTTCCTGGGGGCGAGGGAGGGTGCTGGTACGATTTGTATCCAGAAGTGCGTCGTCTTTCGTTCTGGGAAGCGGCGCCATAAGGCCGAGGCGCAGT